AAGCAAAATATAAAAAAGAATTTTGTAAGTATCTGATTCGACAATTTGATGAAGAGATGTATATAAAAGGTAAGTTTAAAAGATATTATACAAAATAATTAATATTTATAATATTTATATAATAATTTTTTTTATATAGAAGTAAATTAAATGTTAAAGAAGCGATTGATTTTATTGCTGAAGCATGGAATAATGTTGGATTAAAACTGGCATTCTTCCATTTACTGATGAAAATATAGATGATAATATAAGCAATATAGGTTTAGATGATATAGATATGCAAGAATCCGATTCAGAAGAAGTTGAATTTGCTTTATATGATTTACCAAATGCTGATAAAATACAAGAATATTTACAACATTTTGATTCTCCAATTTCAACAGAAGATTATCTTACCGAAGAACAAATTGTAATCTTGTACAATTTGAAGAAAATAATGAAAGTGATGGATACACATCAGATGAAGAAATACCTTTGATACCAACTGAACAAGCAATTAATGGTTTGGAAACATTTATTAAATATTTTGAACAGCAAAATAATGATTCTCAATTTAATGTTAATGATCTTCGTATATTTCGAAAATATCTTAATGAAACAGAGTACACTTGATAATTTCTTAAATATTTAGATAAATATATCTAATAATATTAGGATAAAATATAATTTGAATAATAAAAATTTTATGCTTAAAATTTAATTTCTTAAAAATTTATATCACTTTTTTTTTATTCTTTATATATTTGTGACTATACGGGAGTTACCTTTTTATAAGCACACCTTCAAATAGTCACGACATTATGTGGTCCCGACAGGTGTGACTATATAGGAGGTCGACTGTATATAAATTTTAAAAAGCACACCTCCTTTTAATCACTCTTTGAAGCCTGTACAAATTCACAGATTGTAGTACTTTGAAAAATTACATCTGCAAACTCACGTAGAATTTCACAAATTTTTGAATTATAATACTCTAATAATTCATTAATCGAAGTATTTCGTGCGTATTTTAATTTAACCAAGAGAATTTCTTAATAAATATAAGTGTATTAGATCGTTGGGATCCCAAAATGTTCAAAGAACTTACTGTCTTGTTTACAACTCAAAGAAAAGTCATAAATTACAACTTTAAGCTAACTATTTGTTTATATTTAAATATTTTTAGAATTGCCATTCATCATTTTTGAATCTATTATAGGAAACAAAAACCATTATTCTGCCTGTCTTATCTTGTTTCACAACATTGACAACAAATCTGATGAAATATTTCAATAATTCCTTTGCACTCACTGCATTGTATACTTGGCGAATAAAATATTATTTAGTTAATTTTGATCTCAGATGTAATACCAAAATTTGTTAAGTTTCGGAATTATGCGAACATTGCATAGCATAATAACATTATCTGATATCAGAATTCTACATTCTAATGTAATTATACACATTCAAAATATTATAAAGTACTCACGTTTTTCACCAATTTCATTTAAGAATACACATCTATTTATAAATGTATCCCAAAGAAATTTCGAAATCATTTTTCAATCATTTCTGTAAAATTAAGGGACTTTTCTGCTGTTTCATATCTTTCATTTTACCATATCGTACGTTCCACGACGGATTATAGTTTTAAACAATTCCGATATTTTCATATCATGTGAACCTATTCCTTCCTATCTAATTGGTCAACCAACCATTCGATTCCGGATCTACAGACGACTTGCCATAAAGTTTTTAGTTTAATTTGGAAAAAAGTATCGTCAGGGGTGTTATTTTTTCTCCCTTCGTATTTTATTTATTTATAAGAAAAAAAAATTTATTTTTTTTTGTTTTGTAAAAAATAATGAAGGCAATCAAAATTAAGTTTATGTCTCGCATTTTTGACCCAAGAGAAGATTCGATGTCAGCTCCTATCGAAAAAGAAGAAACTTCGCCAGTAGACTCCGCTACAAACACCAATACCGCTCGTGCGAAATCACTTCATTCAATCTTTTCTTCATTTCAATTCACCAAACAACAACAAACAGCAACATCAAATGCAACATCAACATCATCAACATCAACATCAACATCTACATCAACAGAAACAGTAACAGCAACAACTGATGCGACGAAAATTTCAAATCAAAAACAAAGTTCGTTAGAAGACAAATGTCCATATCCATTGACAATTGATTGCCTTGAGGAAATTCTTTCACATTTAATCGATGATAAACTTACATTATTTTCTTGTATAATGGTGAATAGTTTATGGTTAAACCTATGCATACCATTTTTATGGAGTAATCCATTTGATAATTTTCTCCATCAAACAAATCAATCACGGTTGATAAGAACCTACATTTCTTGCTTACCCACACAAGACAAACAAAGACTACTTCAATATAATTTAAATAATTCGAGCAACAACAAGAAGAAATTTTCAACCTTTATGATGCAAACTCAACAGTTTCCTATATTTAACTATAACAAGAGAAATTTAATAATGAAACCTTTATCACGAATCTCACTAAACGAGGAACCATTATTTTTCTATCCCAAATATTTGAAAAGTTTAAATTATGACAAGTTTGATTTCGCGATAAAAGGATATTGTTTAGCTTATTCACATCAAAATCATGGACAATATAAAAGATTGGTATTTGAATTATTAAAAAATTTAATATTTAATAATGAAATGGTCTGTTTGAGAGATTTAAAAATCAAATTTAATCATGAAATTGAATCACCTTTACATAACACGGCAACGACCATCATGAAGACATCAATAAACACTTTTATTAAATTAACCACATTGGATTTAAGTTATAGATATTCAAGCGAGACCGATGAGATGATAATTCCACAACAAATTTCAAATATTTGTACGCATTTATCAATACATTCAACTCACATTCGACACCTTACGATTTATATCACTCAAAAATGGTGGGGGGATGAATTTAGGCAACAAATTTGTGATCCAATTTTTAAATTGATCAGATCTCAAAAAAATTTAAAATACCTTTCTATCAATGAATTTTGGAATAATAATAAATGTCAATTAAATAATAAGTATGATAGTGTTGATAGGTTGGATATGGGTATTGAATATTCAAAACAATTTTATCAGATTTTATTACAACAAACCAGCAATACTTTGGAATCTTTACAATTTCATGATTTAACCCAATTTAAATTATTATTAAATATCCTTAATCATTTCAAAAGGTTAAAAAATTTGGAATTTAAAAAATTAATTCAACCGAATAAACATTTAAATTTATGTTTAAATGGTGGTGGTGGTGGTGGGATTCATGATTTATCCAAGATAAATAATTTATCCCTTACCAAATTTGTTTGTTACTATAGACCTTTTTCTTACAGACATTTTTCCATAAACAATCATGATGGTGGTAATTCAATTATAATTCACTCTTTGATCTCTCCTATAATAATATCTTCAAACAAATCTCTTGAATCCCTTTCATTAAGTGAGGTATCCAGAGATATTTTATTAACCATTACAAATCATTGTCCAAATGTATCAAATTTATCCCTTTCGTTAAATTCTTCTTTATCACCCGAATTTTGTGCTTTATTAATGTCCCTTTCTAAATTACAATCCCTTAAGATAAATAAACCCTTTTGTAATATTTCATTTACTGCCACTGATTTAATTAATTTGGCCAATTCTTTACCAACTAGTTTATATTATTTTAACACTGATATCTTTGATAATTCGAAATTTTTAAATTATTTCTTAGAAAATTGTAATGTAGATTTAAATTTATCTATATTGGAGGTTTATCAAAATGTTGTTGATGATGCTGCGTTAATAGCCGTTTTGAATTATAAACAGAAAAATGGTGTTAGACTAAGAGAATTTAGATATAGTGGAATGAGTATCATGTTTAGCACTAGAATTTGGGAATCAACTAAAAAGATTCTACCTGATCTTGTAAAGGTTTAAATAAAGAATTATTATTATTTTGTTTGCGCTAGATAAAATTTCGAGACAGGTGAAAGTCACGGATTAATGGTATCGTCTCAATTCTGAAAATCTCTGTAATTTTATGATTTTAAGAGTTTTCTTTGAGTTGTAAACATAATAATAAACGAGACAATAAATCCTTTTGAATATTTTGAAGATTTGTTTTATGATGAGGCGCAGTAATCACACGTGTGGTATCCAATAATTAATTTATTTTGTATACATGCAAAACACCCAAACTATTTTGTAAATGTTAAAAGTCAAAAAGAACATATAATTACTTACTACGTTTTTTTTTATGTAGTTATAAGATGTATAACAAATAATTACTTCCATGAGATATAAGAAAAATCGTATTTTTTGGAGAAAGGTCACCGTATTTTATCTAAAAGAATAGATAATTTTAATTCATGTTTAAAAAATTTATTAATCTGTTTAGTCTGTTTGTTTCTACAAAACATTTTGGTTCTTAAAATTTTAAATTCAAAGTCATGATCATGGTGGTATTTTCTTTTCTTTGGTAATATAAATTCCCGGGCGAGAATGAGATCTAAAAGATTTATTTTGCAAGTTTGGCTTAACTAAATATTTTATAAAATTATTCCAATGTTAACTTTTTCTCATCGATGTTTCCTTTTTCTCATGGATACGTTGGTATAGGTAACTTTTAATATCCATTTTTTTAATTCTAAAAAATGAATTCATCAAAAAATAATCATCAAAATAAAAAAAAAGCGTTGGTCCACATGTTGGGGTTCGTGTAACGATTTTTCTTGATCACAATCATTGTTACAGAATCATTATTCGTAAACCAGTTTCAGGTTGCGCAATATTGCATCGTTCATCGTGTTACAACCATAAAAAGGCTTAGAGGAAAACAAATTTTTATTTAAAATGGTTCCATTGTTTTAATTTTTATTATACATATATATATATATGGGTATGTATTGTATTGTAGAAAAAAAAATAAAAAAAAAAATATTTTTTTTTTTTTTCCTCGCTTCTCTTTAAATTTAACTTGTTAAATATGTCATTAAAGAATCCAGATTGTTTAGAAGTAATATTTGAAAATCTAAAGGATGAAGTCACAACACTTCATTCGTGTCATTTAGTTAATAGGTTATGGTGTCGACTTACAACACCAATATTGTGGCGTAATCCATTAAAATTTACGAGTGGTAGAACTAATGCAACATATCAAGTCATCCAAATATATATCTCATGCCTTTCCGAACCCAAGAGAAAAATCATTGAAGCAATTTTACCAAGATTATTCTTTAATGAGAAACCTTTATTTGATTATCCAACACATTTACAAGAATTCAATGAAAAAGAATTCGAGATAGGAATTAGAATTTGGATGAGTATGATTGAAAATGAAAAGTTGATAATGATACATAGTAATGGTAGTGGATCGAAAAGGGAACATTATACAATGAGAAGATTTAAGAATGAAAATTTGGAGGCACAATGTGATTTGGTTTATGACATTTTATTTGAATTATTATTTAAGAGTTCAAAAAGGTTACGCACCATTAGAATTTTACCGATGGATGGATGTCAATGGAAGGAAAAGGGAATAGATGGTATCGTTAAAGTAAATCACCTCTTATATTCCTTGCAAAAATTTATCTTTTGTTGTAAATGTAAGGAAATTAATTCAAATCTTGACAAGATTTCAAACTTGTTTACGACAATGTCAAAGCACGTTCATGATTTACAACATTTATTTATCGACATCAACGAACGTTCCACACATCTCGTACAACATAAACTTTTCCCACTCGTTAAATCAATTTCCTCTTTAATTGAATCACAAAATTCTCTAAAGGTTTTAATTATAAATCAATTTTGGGATTGTTCAACCTGTTATTTAATTGAGTACGCCCTTTCAAGGCAAGCCCCTTCCCTAATATATTTAGAGATTAATGAATTTTACAATTATAATGTAATCTTACAAATCTTACCCCTATGTAAAAATTTAGAGACTATCAAATTTAGTCATCCGGTTCCATTGAAATTTGATCGTACATTTGATTCCACTCCATTACCTTTGTTAACCTCAAATAATCTTCCCATTAAAAATTTTTATTCCTTGATGGATAATTATAATCATGACATTACTTTAACTACGACGGAATTAATCTTGAGAATGTCAAATCGATTCCTTCAAACCCTTTCCCTATCAAAGATCACGGAAACTTTGGTCAATACAATTACAAAATATTGTTCTCAATTAACTCATTTATCATTTGTTTTTCACACGAGAGAGATTAAATCAATTTGTTCTTTACTTTCTTCACTTCCTTCCCTAAAACATTTAATCCTCATACATTATGATTTAAATCAACCGACAAATGATTATTTATTCTATCAATTGGCCAACTCCATTCCTAATACCTTGACCCATCTTGGTTTTGATTTCGAGTTGTCTCCCAAACTTTTAAACGTTTTCTTGTCTCATTGTCCCCATTCAATTAATATTCTTACCTTTCATGGTACGAAATGGTATCGAGAAGATTACTTATCTGGAATTGTTAAATATGTTGAAAAGAAACGTAATGGTTTAAAAGAATTGAGGATTGAAAAATTCAAACGAAGTGATGAAGCTTTCTTACCTTTATTCTTCTTGAATGCGTTAAAAGATGCAAAAAAAATAATACCCGTGATCAAGGATTCTAGTTCCGCCTTTGTCCCGTTTTTTGGTGAGTAATTATTTGGTAAATTGTTGGGAGAGTAATATATTATACGTTGTGTATTCATCTTGCTAACTTTTTGTTTTTTATTTTGGAAAATTCCAGATTCATTTGATGAGTGTAATTAATGTAATAAAGAAAATAGAAAAAAAGGAACTATGCATACTATGCAGGTACATAGGTTGGTTTTGGTTATAGTGCTACGGAACCATTCTCTAAAAAAGAAATGGATACCGGTTCAGGTGTAATTTATATCATGTATTATTATTGTACAACAAACTTCTTGTATATTAGTTATATCTATATATATTATCATTTATCATTATCATTATTATTAAAAAAAATCCTCATGCTTGGTATAATTTCTTAATTCAAAACCAAAATATTTTATAAAGTGTCAAGAGGGAAAAGGTGATTTTAAATCAAGTAATGTCATGTGACCAGGGAATCATTAAATCCGGCAAAATCTCATGTGCATTGGCCCTCAACATGCCCCAAAATGTCTTTACATGTGTTATTATCATATAAAGATTTAATAATTCTATATGAGTTATGATCTACAAGTATTGTCTGCAACAAGCCAGTTAAAAAACCCCTTTCATCTTCAACCAAATATCTCCCAAACATGTAACACCGCATTAATATCACACCGTTTAACAAATTTACATTCGAAGAACTTTTATTTAAATTAAATAAAGAAACTTCTCGAAATGAGATCACTCCCAAATTCTTTCTATAATAATATATATATTTGCCTTTAAAATAAATACGTATGAATAAATATGTAATATTTACTAGTGAAAATACAATAATAAAATGTGATTAAATAGCTCTCGTTCTTTTTTTTTTCTATCGTCAAAGATGAAGTCCTTTCATATTATTCCAAATATATTATAATCAATTTCCAAATTTGATGAATAAAAATACATATATATATATTTATTTATAATGAAAGGGAGGAGAAATCCACGTCAATAATCAATATCTTTCTAAAAAAAAAAAACCCATTAAATGTCATATACATTTGTCATCTTGTACGTTTCCTAGGATCCATTTTAAATTTAAAGGATTAAATTGGGTGAATGAATTTGCTGTGGTGGAAACTACAGCGGAAGAAACTGCGGGTGAAAAATAATCTTGGTAAGATAATCCCCACTGAGATGATAACGTATCTTCTTCATCAGGGGAATAATCATTTGTTGTTACAAAATCGGAATATAATGGAGATACGGATGTCGGTATAATCCACACTCTCTTTTCGGTGGACTGTTTATTATCTGACACGCATTTCGTTGTTGCGGCAGTTGTTGTCCTTATTTCACCCGGTTCACAATAGCAAATTTTACCTTCTTTTGTTTCACAAAATATCGGGTCTCTAATTATATTATCAATTGTATCAATTGAGGGTAGGCCGCACGAAATTTGTGATGGTCGAGTGACTAATCCATGTTGATCATTAAACGAAAAGGTTGATGTGGTTGGTGATACGTTGTTCGTAAATGTCGTAAAACATTCACCACTTTGAGGCTGTTGATCAGTGGGTGAATGATAACCGATGTCTTCATTGTTATCGTTAATATCATCATCATCATCATTATCATCATAATCCTCCTCATAATCATCATCATTTTCGTCATCAAAAGAGTTCACGTCATTATTATTAGCAACGTCGTTTATCTTGTCATTTTTACCAGAATTAGTAGCGACGGCATGATTAAAACAATTTATTCCTTCCTCAACAGCGACCCGTTTTTCCAAAAGTGCAACCTTTTCTTTCAATGATTCGATTTCTTCCTGTGCACCTTTAAATAATTCTTCATACTCTGAAGCTTTGGTTTCCAAATTACGAATGTAATATTCCCTTCGTTGACGAAAAGCTCGTTGATTGATTAAGTTTTGTATATGTTTTTTCTAATGAATGGAAAATTCAAAGTTGGTCGTCCATTTTATTGTAACTTATAATAATTTATTAATCCCTTGTGTACTTACGGTTGTAGGCATCGAAGATAACGGTTTACGTCCACGTTTATTTGATGGTTTGTTTGTAGGTTGTTGAATCCTTTTAGTTATGTCATCAGTTTGTTGCATTTCTGATGATTTTTAAAGGTGAGATATTTCGTTTGGTTAAAGATGAGAATATGAGTTAAATTACTTACCATTTGAAATAGAATGATGTGTTGAAGTGGAAAGTCTGGGAATAGGTAACTTTAAAGGTTGTGGAGAAGATATATTCATTTTTTTTTTTAAAAAAAAAAAAATTCAAGAAAATTTATGAAAAGGGAAAAAAAAAAAAAAAAAAAAATATAAAATAATAAATAATGATATATAATATTATACAAGGTTTTTTTCAAGATATTTATATGAGTAAATATCGGATGTTCTCGGTAATACTAATATTATTCACCTTTCGGAAAACAAAAAAATAAAAAAGAGATTTTTTTTTTTTTTTTTTTTTTTTAGGGGGAGCTATAAATTTTTGTTTACGTATGACAACTAAACTAATCAATGAATCAATTGTGGGATCAGCTTTGACTTTTGAACGCCATTCTTTTTTTTTAAAAAAAAAAAAAAAAAAAAAAAAAAAAAAATTGGATGTGCCCTATGCATATAATAATACTTACTATACGTGAGTATTTCAACAAGATTTTTTTATTTTTCTTTTTTTTTAAAAAAAAAGAAAAAGAGGAAGGGAATAAAGAAAGTTAATTCTTAAATCCAAAACATATATATTTAATATGTAAATTGATTATCGTTTCCATTTAATACCATCACGGGACGTCATGCGATTGCTGATTGTGGAAAGTTGCAGAACTTTATTCTCTAAAATTTCTGGTACGCCTTAGAATTGGTTACGCAGAACGGAAATGACGAAATAAATTATTTTATTAAAACATTTTTCTTTACGAGTTAACAACATCTGAAATTTGGTACAAAATTATTGATTGGTTGTGGAATTAATTAAATGTTCACAAAAAAAAAATAAATCCCATTTTATAGTTAGTTGTAATCATTTCCAAGAGCCAAGCAAAAAAGAATATTAAAAATACCCTTAACATACCTATTAAAAATTTTCTTGAGAAACGCTATTGTATTCGAATAAAAGCAAGTTCTTATCTTTCTCCGGATCTTTGTTGATTTTTGTTATTTTATCTGCTCTGCATAATATTTAAAAGCAATTTTGTCACGTGATTGTAATGTCACGTGATCTCGGACTTGCGGACATGGCCGGAGCAACACTACTTGATTGTTTACAGGAAGATCGAATTATCTTTTTTTTTTAAAAAATCAAATCAAATAATATAAAATGTAACAAAGAATTTACAATCCAATAAAATTCGGCGTAAAATCATCTAAGATGCAAAAACTCTAATAAAAGAATGCAATGCGCTTCTTTATGGGAAGATGGACAACATCCCGAGAATTTTCAAAATGCTATTTGTTTCAAAAGTAGTTAAATGAAACCTAATTTGTTTCCTTGGGAGCGTATGAAATTGGAGAAGTTATGTTTTGAATATATTAAAAGAATTTTTGTTTCATTGATTATCAATTAAGCCCCTATCGCTTTTACACTAAAAATAAATTTTAAGGTAAATTAGGTTAACCAATATAACCAAATACCAAAAAAAAAAAATTTTTTTTTCAATAATGCTTTCGATGTTGATAAAATACTCCACAAATTTATAGATTATTGTGTCACGCAAATGTTCATAAATGATAATTTGTAACCCTTGTCATATAGTTCTTCCATTAAAAACCAGTCAATGTTAAAATGATAATGTTTTATTTATATCTATAATAAATAATAATAATGATAATGATAATATTTATTCACTTTTCAATTTTGAACTAAATTCCTTTACCCCAAGTCTAATTAATCTAAATGTGACCCACCCG